AGACATGTCACAAATGAAGATTGACGATCTTCAAACTTCACTTATAGCATATGAAATGAGGATTGGGTTCCTACTCAACACAAAAGAGAAGCAACTTTCAAGGCTAAACAAGCTGTTAAAGAAAGTGAACAAAAGTCAGAAGATGATGACCTAAAAAATGAAACCTTCACGATACTTTACCTCATACTCTCACTACTACTCAATTGAACAATCACTAACCCTTAACCGGATAATTTATTAGAGTAAAATTGATTCGAGAAGAAATGTCTGATCAGGCCCATTTCCATATCAATCAATCCAACCCTAACAACCATATCATTCTTGTCATCAGGTTGAACTCCAAATATCGTTCTCATACGAGAAACTCCATAAAACAAGTACCTTAAATGCTATCATCAAGTCCACAAATATCAACAAATACCTCGATCATAAGTATCACGTAAAAGCCTCAATAAGAATCCTTATCACAAATCTCTCGATAAGACTAGAATATAACACATCCTTCCGATAACAATCACAAATTGAATCTCTTAAAACCATGCTTGACAACACCTATCTAAAACACAACTCCTCAAAATACCTTCCTACTCATATCAATCCTTATCATCATGAAAAAACTACTGAGATCACAATTCCTCAAAACCATGCCTAGTTATAACTAGAACGAGAAGATTACATAAATAAGCCATATCCAAATGCGATCCTTCGAAACATCTCCTAAGAGTCAAACACATCCAAAACTCCAAAACTCGAAACAAGTCTTCAAAAGATATCCTTAAAGGAGCATCAAACTCACTCAATGAATCAAACAAATCCTCAATGATGTGGACACAAGTCCCCGTAAAATGACCTCACAATAAAACTCCATTCACATCGAGCACAACAAACTCCACTAGCAACTATGGCTAAAACTCTCAAAGGGAAAACACGAATGAAAACCACCAGTCCCAATAAGGATAACACCACAAACTCCATATCTGAAACGAAAGACACCAAGGGTCAAAGGCTTCACCCCCTATATGGAAGTAAGTCGACCAAAATCAATAAAATCCTCACCAAGGACTAAATACAAAATCAATAACCGATAACCATGCACAATGCAATGAAGAGATAAGAATCACTCCCTGTGAAATCCCTAATACGAGTTAAGAAAAATGGAAAAGCCTTGCTCTCCCAAGAGTGCCAACAACTCACATGATAAACGAAACATTCTCCCCACCTTAGGGAAGTGGACATCCCATGACAAAATAAAGTATGACAACTCATTCACAAGGAATTCCACAATGCAACCAACTACAAAAACCAGCATGCAAACTAAGCGCAAACAAAAGGAACGCGACACCCAGCTTGTGCTCTCCCAAAATGAACCAAAAGGAATCCACGCCTAAACACCATATATCATGTGAAAATGAAATACTCATAACACTAAACATGGCAATCGATGCATGGTGGTCAACCTCGATGTGTGATAAAATGTGGCTAAATTTAAATTTATAGAATGCCACTACCACTACTAACTACTAATGTAACAAGAGTGAGTAGGGATCTTTCCACGGGAAAGGCAAGGTATTCTTGGAATCAATGTTGGATTAGTAGGTCGAATGATCAAAAGATGAGTTTGATTTGATTAATTACACTATTGATTCAATTAAAACAATGAAATTAAGTGACAATCTAGAAAGTAAAGAAAATAATATGAGAGAAGGGTCTTAGGGCTTAGAGTTTACCACTAAGCTTCACTCACCAAACATTAGCAATTGTAAATTGATAGGGAAATTCAAGCTGTAAAATGTGTGTGTGTGTCGCCAATAGAAAACTAAGCATGGATAGCAAATAAGTATAGATTGTCTAATCAATCTAGTGAGTAGTACAAACTATCAAATGAGACAATTAATCATTCAATTAAACCACAATTAGTGCACACACAAAAATCTAGAAAAATGTACTTCTTGCATTCCTAAGTATGGAACATCAAACAATAAGAATGAATTGTTCACCTATTTAAGAAATTAAAGTAATTACACTACAACTAAGCTAATGACATGAAAATTAACCTAATTGATAAGTGCTCAAATATGATGCATTTTAGCACCTAAGTTAAGGTATTTTAGTCCATTCATCTATCTTACTTTCATGTCTTAGATACTTATTTATGTTTTTGCCTATTTCAGGTCAATAAAGTTCAAACAGGCTAATAAAAGCCATTTAGCTCAATTTTGGAGCTAAGGAGCAAAGTTGGAAAGAAGCCAACAAAATGCACCAGAGGAACTTCGATTGATCGAAGGAAATCCCGATCAATCGAAGATGTCTATAATCCTTATAATATTTTCCCCCACCCGAACTCGCAACGCCCTCTCTGTGGTCGGGCCACCCTGCCTACCTGGGTGAGTCACCTGGACACCTTCCGGGCCTGGCGCTTGGCGTGACATCGGATCAAGGACTGAGTCTAACTCTAATACCAACTGTAACGGGTGGGCGCTTGCCAATTTACCCAAAAGCTCAAGCAATTGGGTAGTACTGTATACCCACCAATTTATATGCAATCACTTTTCCATCTGGATTCGATGTGTGACAAATGACTTTTATAACAGTGAGGCACTACACCTGATTGGCCCATCGACTAGTTTTACGAAGCGCAACAACATATTTATTGAAATAAATAATAATATAAAAACTAAAAATACACTGTAAAAACAAAATATAAGAATAATTCTGTGTATGGGATATTCTCAGGAGTAATTGATAGAGTTTAGAATTTTATTAGTAGCCGACATTGAGTTTTTAGAAGTCTATTGGTATGAAATTTGTTCTTATATGTTTATTGAATTAGATAATATTATAATACTTTTGTCTTCAAATTCTTAAGAGTAGATGATATAGTTTAGGATTTTATTAACAGTAGTTGATATGAAACTTTTTAGAGTCTATTAGTAAGATAATAATATTATATATTTATTAAAATAAATCATATTATAAAAATTAAATAATAATAATAATAAATATTATTTATCACAATTATATTTAGGGGAGAGTTGGAAAAATAATAGAATTAGCAAAAAATGTATATTTATATTTAGGAAAGAGTTAGAAAGAGAATAAATTTTATATATATATTTGTATTATTAAACATGCATCATAAATAAATAAAATAAATAATGTAGATACTTTGCACTTTTAATGATAGTATAGATAATTAGATATTTAAATTTCACTATGTCCTTACAACTTGTACCTTTTTAATCTACAAATTGAAGGTCACTTTTTTACATAAATGTTCTCCTCAATTTTCATTAAATTGAATTTTATCCTTTAATTATTTAACATTTCTTAAATTTTCAATTCACTTGTAGTTTTGTTTGGCCTTAAAATTCTCGAAAATACAACTTTCTTGAGTAAAAATCAATGTGCCTTATCAGAATCTCATATCCCTTCACCTGTGTATAAAACACTCGAAATTCGAATCAGTCACATTTGGAGACACATATAGTCCTATGGAGTCACTAAGTCTTAAAGAGCCTTGGTAAAATCTAAAGTATTTTTTATCCTAACAAAACATTTTAGAATCAAATTCAGTTTCTCAAACCTTTCTTCGGTGAACTAAAACTGTTGAAAATAAACTTGATATTAGAATTTTAGTAGTAATTTGTATTTTCAAGTATTTGGTATACATGATGCATGTGTGCATTTCATGTTAGTGAGGTAGTAAATGGTCGTGATGGAGAAGGTTATGTAAGACTAAGAGATATGGGAATTAAGCCTCCTAAAGACTATGTTAGTGGGAGTTATGTTACTAATAGTTATGCTAGTGGGAGTAATGAGAGTTATGGACATTTAAATGTAATTCGTTACATATGTCTAAATCTTATATAAAGTCATGTAATGGACCTATTTTAATATATGAGTAGAAGAATAAGATGAATTAGTAGAAGTGAAATAATTTTCCAAGTATTCATCCATATTCTCTTCTCTTCCAAATATTATAATGTTGTGTTTGTATCTGGGCACTATTAATTTCCAACAAAGTAATATCATAACATAGTAAGAAAGTGGTCTAAGAGCAAAAGCCAACAAAAACACCTCAACTCTTGTCATTCTAGTTAAGGCTAGCTCTATCAATTATAATTCCCAATGGTAAGCCTTATTTATTTATTTATATATTCTTTATTTTATTTCTTCTCTCTACAAATCTTGACACTGGGAAGTTAAGTCCTAAAGCCACCAAAACAAAGCAGAACGGTATTGCTGATCCTTGCTTTTTAATAATCAGCTCACTTATCATGTGTCCGTGTTAATAATCAGGTCCACTATAAGCTTAAACAAACTTGCATGAATTATAATGTTTATTCTGGCATTGAGATCCATACTAAAAAATCTTGTTTAATTCCTTTAATACGATGGCAACATAATGAATTTGGCCTGTTGCTGTACAATGTGTAGAAGATGTGTGAATGTGTAGAAGAAGTAGGAGAAGAAGATTAAACATTCTGGAATAGAAGTTCATTTTTATTCAAATTTATCGACATCTGAAGAAGATGTTGACTAAATAAGGTACAATAAACAGGAACAAACAAAGTACATTTAAAACTTCACTCAAAACTAATATCATAGGCCATTTCTGTTCTTTAAAAAAAAAAAAATCTGTTTTTATTTAAAGCAAAGGTAAAAGCATGATATTCATGTGAATCTCCTTTTATTTCTCCAGTTGGTTGTCTTGTTTCAGTTAAAATGATCGTCATTACAACCCCAAGGAGACGTCGAATTTCATCCCATACCAGTGTTTCTTTTCATTAATCAAGGACCTGCAAAGCAAAAACAATTATAAGAATTAAAATGTTGATAAAAATTCATAAATGAAAAGACATTTCGTCCTTTTTGTGTGTGTGTGTGTGTGTGTGGGGGGGGGGGGGGGGGGGGGGGGGGGGGTGGTTTGGTTTGGTGGAGGATGAGTGATCATATACGTGTATATGTATATCGCACTTACATAAAAAAACATTGATCTCTTAGTATGGTGGAGGTGGTGGTGATTTATAGTAGTAGGGAGGAGGTGGTGATGGGGATGGTGGAGGTGGGGACTTGTATAAGTAGGGAGGAGGAGGGGATGGCGATGGTGGTGGGGGCGAGTTATAAACATAAGGAGGTGGAGGAGAGGGAGATGGAGGTGGTGGAGACTTGTAATAGTAGGGTGGAGGTGGTGATGGGGATGGCGGTGGTGGCGATTTGTATACATAAGGAGGAGGAGGTGATGGAGATGGAGGAGGAGGGGACTTGTAGACATATGGGGGAGGTGGTGATGGGGATGGCGGTGGTGGAGACTTGTAAACATAAGGAGGTGGAGGTGAAGGAGATGGTGGTGGGGGTGATATGTAGATATAAGGAGGTGGAGGTGATGGAGAAGGTGGTGGTGGGGATTTGTATACGTAAGGAGGTGGTGGTGAAGGAGATGGTGGCGGGGGTGATTTGTAGACATATGGTGGTGGTGGTGAAGGGAAAGGTGGTGGTGGCGATTTATATACATAAGGAGGTGGAGGTGATGGAGATGGAGGAGGTGGGGACTTGTACAAATATGGAGGAGGTGGTGATGGAGATGGGGGTGGTGGAGAGTTATAGAGGTAAGGGGGTGGAGGTGAAGGAGATGGTGGTGGGGGTGATTTATAAATATACGGAGGTGGCGGAGAAGGAGATGGAGGAGGTGGGGATTTGTAGACATAAGGAGGCGGCGGTGAAGGAGATGGTGGTGGGGGTGATTTGTATATGTATGGTGGAGGTGGTGATGGGGAGGGAGGAGGTGGTGACTTGTAGTAGTAAGGTGGTGGGGGTGAGGGAGATGGAGGTGGTGGGGACTTATAGTAGTAAGGTGGTGGTGGAGATGGTGACGGAGGAGGTGGCGATTTATAGTAGTAAGGAGGCGGTGGAGGTGGTGACGTGTGATGGTGGTGGTGGTGGTGATGAGGCGGCGGAGGAGAGCTGTAGTAATAAGGAGATGGGGGTGATGGAGATGGCGGCGGTGGTGACATGTACATATAAGGCGGTGGTGGTGGAGATGCGTAGATGTAGGGCTCATGATCTGCCATTACATTTGTAGCTATCAAACATATTGCCAAGGCATATAGAATGGAAGGCCAGAAGGTGGCCATTTTTGGCAACTGTATTAAGCTGCCACAAGCTCTTAACAGTCTTTGGAACTCCTAGGCTTTATGTATTAGTGGAATACTACTGGTGAATGACTACAATGAGGAGGCTTACCCTTTATATAGTAATTCATTCAAATTTCAGAGCATTTGTTTAATATTGTTTGGAGCTTCCACCTTCTAACAACTCTTAAAAAAAAATATACATCTTCTTTTCATTCAACAACTAGACAATGGGATACCACTAACTTTTTTTTTTCTTCTTTTAGTTTTTGTATTGTTAATAGTATAAGAAATGGTCAATGTAAACGATCTATGTAAATGATCTGTACGAATCGTGGGAAGCTCCCTTATATGTATACTCCCTTATATGTATCTTTGAGTTAAATATATAAACGCCACGACCAGTTCCATTGTCATTGACTTTGGTTATTCTTGTAGTGATTGTGTTGGTAATAAAAAAGAAGAAAAAAATATCACTACTATATAATACTTTTAAAATATATATGTACATATTAAACCTGTGTATTTTAATTGGATGAATATACCAATTATGAGGTATGTTCTTGTGTCTCACTCACTCAATATCAACTCTTCTATATATATGAGGAGGGACAATAGGGGAATTTTTTGTAATTTCAGAAAGGGTAATATTAAATTTTCATATGGATATAATTCAAACAAAATATATGTATATACCACTACTATATAATACTTTAAGAAAAATAAAATGGGGCAGTTGCCAACGAGTCCAGAGTCCCTATCATTGCTCATTTCAAAATGATCCGACTCTGTCTTACGGGTTGAAACACTAATGATCGTGTCTCCATGCCGGAGTACTTAGTCCATGCGTTGGGGCTATTTTAAGGCTAGTACTTCACTTGTTAAATTATATACTATATATATTGTTATATATAATCATCTTAAGCCAATAAAAAAAAACACAACGTTCTCATCGAGTATCTTGTCAAGAAGAGATCCATGCTCGTTAGGTACGAATGATTCAATGAAAAGCAAAATAATCGATCACTTTTATTGATTAATGGAATATTAAATAAAATTTAATACGTATTATAAGGGAAGGTAATGTGGAATTTTTCGTTCATGACAGTATTGAAATGAGCTCCAGTTCGTACGTAAATATCAAGCCACTGTGACATCTTTTGGTTTAAAATCTTTTTTCTTTTTCTTTTTTGTTCATAAATGGGTTGTTTTATAAATAAAGAGATACTAAAGTAATTATAAGGCTTATAAGCTAGAACATAGAATACGAATATCGGATACAAATATGCCACATACGAGTACGGATATACGGTAAATGCCAAATAAATAAGATACGGTGCCGAAAGGATATGACCAAAACAATATATATATATATAATTTTTTTGTCAATTTTTAAAAATATTATGAGTTTAAATATAATCACTAATATAACACAAAAGTTCGTTTCACAAAATATAAAACAAGTACCTCTAGTCATATATTTTGAACAAATCTTAACAATTATACTATAATATTATTGTTGGAAAAGTAACATTTTAAATTCAAAACTTGTTAAAAATGTGTTTTGAAATATTTTAAAAGTATTGGATACGTGGTCCAAGTATCTGGGAAGTATTAGATACGTGATTGAAGTATCTGAGAAGTATTTAATATGCGTTCAAAACTAAAAAATATAATTTAAAATTATAAATACGTTTAAAAAGTATCGAACACGTACCTTCGTTATGGACACGATACAGGTACGTCGACATTGTAAAAGTATTTGTACTTCCTAACTTATAAGAGAAGCTAGGCATTCCCTGAAATACAATGAATATGATGTAAAACAAAGAGCACCACAAGGAGAAAAATAGAAAATAACAGCTCAACCGTGTTGAAAATTTTAGGATAATTTTGGTACATCTTGAAGATATATAGTAAGAAGCAACATCTAACACCTTGCACAAAACCTCTCTAGCTACTTGACACTTCTTTCTGATCATATTTGTGAGTTTATGTAGCGGAAGATTAGAAAGTTTTGTATTTTAAAAACAGATCTGTGTCTTTCTAACTTTATTTATTTTAGTAATTAATCAATAAATCTCATGCAATATAAAATAAAGTAAAGTAATAGAGTTAGAGATGACACCAAGATTTTTAGCGTAGACCAACTGTTTATGCGGGAAAAACCTCGTGGATTGTGCAGGAAAATCTCGTGGATTGTGCAGTCCAAAGTAAACTGATCTACTATGTTTGAAACAAAGTACAATGGATTTTGACTCAGGCTCACACCCTATCATTCTACGAAATACCAATAGCTGACAATCCTCTAGTTTTGCGACATCTCGTCCAACAGCATTTGACCTTATACTTACTCTTGATCTCCGTAGAAGGATTGATGGTAGATCAAACAACACTCCTCGAATGATTTAACCCTTTCAAAATGTGATCGCTTCACTTTTATTCTTCAATATCTGAATTTATAGAAGAAGTAGATCTGTTTTTCTCTAATCGTTGTAGATGCAAGACTTTGATCACGATCAAGATTTGAACAATACTCTAAAATCACTCTTGTGTATATGTGTGTGTTCTAGAAAGAATGACATAAAAATTAACTTTGATTTTCTAGCAAAAATATCTCTCTAAGGCTTTTAGGAATTCTGAAGTTATAGTGTAAAAGTTGTACAAACCTAGATGAAAATCAAGGTTTATATAGACTATTTAAAGACCTAAACATACATAAGAAAAAGGAATTTTCATGCATAGGACTTTTAGTAGTATTCTAAACCAACTAGGAAGTTTTAGACAGAACAGGAAACTGGAATTCTAAACTATATCAGCAGTTGGTACCGGTAGCCACATTTGGAACCAGTTCCCAAAGAACAGAACTTAATCTTCGAAGCTAAGGTTCTTGAACCGGTTCCCAAACTTGGTACCGGTTCCCACTTGACAGAATTATGAAGAAGGGTTTGAAACTAACTTGGAAAAACTCTGTTTTTGGTAACTTGAAGAATATACCATATAGATATAGTGTCTTAAGTAGGAAACAACTTCCTAAAGTGTTGTTCTTTCCTTGTTCATAGATCTCAGCATGAATGACCTTCCAATTCCGCAACTAATCTCGATCTTGATATGGTAACTTGAAATTATAACTCGATCAGACTTATTTTGACATCGAAATTTGCCAATTACAAAAATTATATCTCACAATCTCCTTCTTTGGAAATTCGTAATAAAACCCTAAAAACAAATATAATCCACCCAAGCAGAAAAATAATATATTAAAAATTGTTAAGGACACGGAAATTTTCTTCTATGTTCTCTTCCTTCTTGGACAAAATTTTACTTTATTTCCTGTACATGGATAAAGCAAAACTACCAGTGTAAGTTTAATAAAATAATTTATAAAAACTCCCTCTGAATAAATTATCCAATGTTTCAAATTTTCTCCCCCTTAATTAATCATTGTTCTCCCTCTTTTTGGAAAAAATTGACAAAGCAAATAAGAATGATCAGAGCGGAAAAATATAGAAAAGAAACATTCAAAGCAGTTTATAACATGTCATTAATCCAAAAGAATAATATCCAAAAATAATATGTAATGACAATGTAAACTGAACAAAAATATGATGCATACATGATCAAAAAGTCAAAGATCAACATCTCCCTCAAAAGGAACAGCAGTAGTCGGAATATCCTCATCATCACCACCATCACTACCACTACCATCCTCATCATCATCATCATCACCATCATCTGTCTCATCATCATCATCCTCAGGAAGCTTAAACTGATCTGGATGTGCAAGTTTGTAGACGTCCTCAGAAAAACCACCTTCCTCCTATCCACGAAGAAATATCACCTCGGCCTGGAGATCACATACAGCATCAAGCATGGCCTTCTGATTTTGAAGAATCAGAGAATATAACAGATTTCCATCATCCTTCGTGAAATTCCCTTTGGAGGGAAAGATCTGAGTAATATGTGGAAGCTGAGATGTAACAGTGTCTGAACCCCTGATTACCTTCCTTGCATTTTCCCTGGCAAACTTAGACTTGTTCAATGCCTGGAGATCTAACTCAGACATAATCTCGTGATGATGAGCTCTAGGAGAAAGCATAATCTGAAACTTCCTATAAAGTCCCATGATGATCATAGGGAATGGAGAGGACTTCCTCTTGGTTTGTTCTTGTAATGAGCAACCATCAAGTTCACGATGGAAGCGACAATGTGGATCTTTTCTCCAATAGCAAGAAGATACAATACTTGAGCCCGATCCAATGCCAACATGTCCTTCTTCCTAAAATAGCCAAGATTGGCTATAGCAAATAAATTCAGAAACACTGCCTCATCAGTGAGATAGCAAGAAGGGATGTGGTCAGCAAATCTTGGAGAACCCGGAACACATAATGAGTCATAAATCTCCTGCTATTTAGGCCCTGACTCTGTGAGAGGTAAGACATCGCCTGTACTGCTCACCCTCTTCAGAACGCCCAAGATGCCACAGATAACATCTTCATTTACGAGATAATCAGCCCCAAAAATAGAAACATCAAAATACCCATCGTCATGAACACAATGGATATTAGAATAGAAAAAGTGTGAGGAGAGTAGCTGTGCTCCATAGTAGTGAAGAAGAGCCAGTTGTTCTTCTCAATGTACTCAACGAGCTTGTGACCCGCACTATTTTAGAGTTTCTTCAAGTTCACATTCCTTTAAGATTTGATAGGCCCACCTTTGTAAACTTTTGTGTGCGCCTTCCAGCGTGCTCATTGTAGAAGTGACCTGGGTGAACTCTACTTTCCCTGCAGCAAAAACTGAAGGATACCCAGCTGGTACCTCAGCAATAGGAGAACCCGAGTCCATAGGTGACGACAGAGTGTCCCTAGGAGCATTTGAACCTTCGTGAGGTTCACGAATAGAGATGCTGGTTCTCGCTCTCTTGGGAGCCTTTGGAGCTTTAATTTCTTTTCCCTCGGCTTCTTTGGATAGTTTTGGTGCCATTTGACGTTCAAAAAAATTTG